TTCAACGTGAAAACGTTCAAATGGTAAGGCCCCTTTCCGTCAACAGATCCAGCGAAAGCTTTCGAGAGCGAGCGATTTTTTCGAGTGGCTATTCGAAGAAATACGGAATAGAATGAGAAAATTTCAGGATATGGCTGGTGTGATGAGGCCAAATGGTGCAAAACTGCTGGTCTCGGCATTACGAGATAAATTCCCCGATGTACCAATTCATATTCATACACACGATACATCCGGTGCCGGTGTAGCGTCGATGCTGGAGTGTGCCTATGCGGGTGCGGATGTGGTCGATGCGGCTGTGGATAGTATGAGCGGAATGACGAGTCAACCGAGTATGGGTGCCATTGTGGCATCACTCGATAGGACACCGCATAAGACTGGGCTGGATTTGCATAATATCTCGAAATACAGTGCCTACTGGGAAAGCGCACGACAACTGTATGCACCATTCGAATGCACCACAACAATGAAGAGTGGTAATGCAGATGTGTTCGTACACGAGATCCCGGGTGGCCAATACACGAATCTTCAGTTCCAGGTGACCACTACTGGAAACCATTGGAAATAATGACCATTTTACAGCAAATTTCTTGATTGCACCCGAAAAAATCATCTAGAAAGATACTGAATTAGATATATAGAGAATGTTCCTGGGTTCAGTAATTTATGAGAAAAACCCAATGGNTTCTCATGTTATGTTAACAACTCAATCGATTACAGGCATTCTCATTAGGTCTTGCGGAACAATTCAACGAAGTGAAACACAAATATCACGAGGCTAATATGGCATTAGGTGATATCATTAAGGTTTGTAATTCATAATCACTCATGGTCGTTCGTGTATGATCGTTTTCTAAAGCAATTCAGCCGTATTCATACTTTCACTGTTTTAAGCCTTATTGTTTTAACTGTAAGCATTGCTTAATTGCCTATTGTTCAGTTCTGAATCTGGTTCATTCAGGACTTGTATTGAGTGAACGAAAAAAAATCATATTGTTGTAGCGCATTTTGACATGTAGGCATTTTGATTGGAAATCTTTAGAAAAGACTCCGTCTAATAGTTATTTCATCAAGTTGATCTATAAAAGCGATCGATCTCTTATATACGAAATAGTTTATAGGTAACTCCGTCATCGAAGGTTGTCGGTGATTTAGCGCAATTCATGGTGCAAAATAAGCTAACTGCTCAGACGCTGGTCGAGCGTGCCGAAGACTTGTCATTCCCGAAATCAGTTGTGCAATTTATGCAGGTTTGTTGGGCAATCTCTTCAGAATTTATGTCATTCTTACAATCATCTTTATGTTGCGATATCAACATTAATGAGTTCTTCGTTGTAACTCTGTGATTGAGTAACTTGCACGTATGTGATCATTCCTAATGATTGTGTTTCCATCTGTTTTCCAATTTAAGTTTCTAGTTTATGAGATTTCAAACCAAATCTGCTTTAAGGGTCTTATTGGGCAACCTCCTTATGGATTCCCGGAGCCACTTCGTACAAGAGTGTTGCGTGGTCAACCCAAATTTGATGGTCGCCCAGGCGAGAACCTCGAACCTCTGGACTTTGACAAGATGAAAGTGGATCTTGAGGCGAAACACGGAAGGAAGCTACGGTATGAAATTCTTATTCTGTTTGCTGTCACTTGAGAGGATTCAGCTAAATTTATTGGGTGAAACCATCTGCTAGTATCTCAAATAAAAGTTATGAGTTATGAGTTTTAGTGATGAAGACATAATGACGTCGGCAATGTTCCCGAAGGAGTTCGATGAGTTCGAGCAATTCAGACAGCAATACGGACCAGTCGACAAACTGGAAACTCGACCATTCTTAACCGGTACGATTACATCTCGCTTAACTCAGTCATCAACTCATATCCTGAACGCAGATCATGTCGACTGATTGGTTGTAATGACCAGATCATTTAACAACTTGCGTTGTATTGATGAAGTGCAAACTTTTTGATGATGCTACAAGAAAATGCTTTCATTTCCTCAAAGATGTTTCCTGTACATCGCCATTTTTAATCCGGATGGTAATCTGTGGAGAATGTTGTTCCACGAAAGTTGTTGCGGTGAGATTTATCGATAAGCGTTATGTTTTTTGATCAGTGACAAGTATTGTTCAGGAATGGATTGCGCTGAAGAGATAGATGTCGAGATAGAGAAGGGTAAAACACTTTCAATACGGTTGATGAACATCGGCAAATTGAATCACCGAGGTGAACGCGAGGTGTTCTTTGAATTGAACGGCCAAATGCGTAGTATGTACGTGCAAGATAAGGAGGCTTCTAAGGTCAGTTCTGAAGAGAGATCTATCTGCAATTGATAATCCAGATAGAAATGATAGTAGTAATATTCACATGATTCTGAATGAATTCAATAACTTTCACATGATTTTGATCTGTTATGATTGCAGGAGATCGTGGCACGACCGCGAGCAAGACCTGGTGTGCGAGGCTCAATCGGAGCACCGATGCCAGGCGAGGTGCTCGAGTTGAAGGTGAAAGAAGGCGATAAGGTTGAGGCAAAGACGCCATTATTCGTTCTGTCGGCAATGAAAATGGAGATGGTCATCGATAGTCCGATCGCTGGTACAGTGAAGAAGATTTATTGCGATCCGAAAACGCGAGTTTCAGCCGGCGACTTAGTTGTCGAAGTGGAGCCTTAAGCTTCCTTTCTTCATTTTGTCGAAATCAACTATGTTTTTACTAACCGTTATCTGATTAATTCAAATCGTCCTAACTATTGATCGATCCTGTTCGCAATATTCTCTGTTTAATCTGCTCTGCTCATCATCATATCACTCGTATTAATTCGCTTTTTGTCGCTCTGTTCAAATTTTCATCCATCTCTTTTCCGAACCACAAATAAAATTCCATCAAATGAATAAAAGTGAACANAAAAATCCATGAATTAAACATTATTTCACACTTCGGCCATATTAGTGAATATATCGCTCATGTCGCTTTGATCACATTTATTGATCATTTCATTTTCATACACAATATTAATATTAATATTCGGTCTTTTTTCTGCTATGGCAATAATTCGCTATTCTTTTTCGGAATATTGCTTTGAAAGCTTTTACTGTTTGTTTTAGAGCTTTTTTAATGCCTCGACATACGTTTGATAGCCTAAAGGATTCAGGCCAAATTATGCCTTAAAATCGAAAATTGTTTCGTTTCATTTACATTTATGTTCGTCTCTCTTCATTCATCAATCGTTTTGAATGTTTTTCACGTTCGAAATTCTGATTCTGATAGATTGTCATCGAATTGTTTTGAGTGATACTGTTTGGATATTTGATATCTCTGCTTATAAAGATTCTAATTATCTCTGCTTATAAAGATTCTAATAGACCTATTCATAGTGCATCGTATTTCATTATTATTGTGATAGGATATCTTATTGAATAGTTTACAGTTCTGTTTTTGCTCGTTCCACTGACAAGCATTTTCGTATGTTCTCATTTTAACAGACTGATTGTTTCCTTAATGAATATCTAAATGCGTCTCCTTATTTAGAAATTGTTCGAACTGATTGATATATTTGTTTTGTTTTCTTTTATTGGTGTTATTGTATGTATGTATGTACTTGTTTGTTTGAGCCTTTATGCATATTCCATAGTCTATGAATAAAATATTTTGAAAAGACATTCGTTTAGTCACGCAGTCATTAATTTTTCGAAAGAATTTCCTTACTTGTTGCAAAATTTAATCGACGGCCCACTTCGGTGTACACATTTTGCAACAATTCTGCAATTCAATGCAGAGTGCATTGGGCAAAACAATTAAACGACATTGTCGTTTAATTTTAAATGACCATTCTTGCACGAAAATCGCAAAGTAGTCAAAGAATCAAACCGAATGAGTGAGCGGCACTTAGCTTTGCAACAGCACTTATCATTCATTGGGAATTACCGAGAAATAGCACTGAAATATTCATTTAATTGAATAGTTTCGCGAATTATACATTGAATTATTGATGATTTATTTTGGTATGTATGGAGGAGGATTTTTGCGTTTCGAATCTCATTAATATCTGAAGTTTGCACGGGACAAAATGGCCGACGGTGCTCGCGGATATTCTCATTAGTTTTTTTTCAGCTGTTTTAGGTCAAAGAATTTCCATGAAATTAAATTTTATTCAAGCAATGAGATTATTCATAGCAAATGTTCACTATTTTCATTGAAGAAGCGCCATATAAAGGCAGATAAAGAGTTGCTCTGCAATAGTTTCAAGTTATCACGAACTGCTGAGACTTCCAATATTTCACAAGTACTAAGAAGAGCATTAAGTTTGCTGACATGAATTTCATTTGTTATATTCACATTTTATTCACCAATTAGTTTATACAGACTTGTATAAATTATTCATTCGTTTGATCAATATTGGATATACTTGGCTCAAATTCATTAGCGCATTCTGTCAAGTGTATTTGAGCATCTACTGCTATTATTATCCTTTTCATCACAATGAATAGACCCTTGTTCGATCGTATCATTGAGTATTCATCAAAAATAACAATGCAGATCTCTTTCATTATAGAGATGAATTAAGCAGGGCATTATGAGTTCAGAGGTGATTATGAAATATTGATGATACGTATAAGGGATTATGAAATACTGCGACATTCGTATATCTTTTGCTAGATCCGATCCGTCTACACACAAACAATGAACGATATTCATTCTTCACTTGATTATTCATTAGCTGAATTGCGAAATTGCCATTTTATCCCTTTGTTGCAAAGGATGCCAAAGTCATTTCGAAATGAGTGGTCGAATGTCATGTAATCAACAAAATCTTGTGTGCGCATATAGTTGTTGTACTTTAGAATTTATTGAGTTTAGGCATAAAAATGGCAAAATAATTCAAATGACATAAAGTGATCATGCGTCAATTAAGTTCACAGGGTGTAAATTCATTTGGTTGATTGCAAATTTCAATGTTTGTTTCACTTTGCAAACAACAATTCAACTTCACATTGTTCAATTGAGTAACAATTCATGTGGCGAGTGTATGAACAACGAATGAATAAAAACGAATGTGCGGAAGTCCGCCCCTTGTAAGCCACATTTTGTATTATAATAAATAGGATGAGAATAGCGATCATGAAGTTCTCATGATTTCATGATCGCACGTCGTCTATATTAATGATGATGGGACTGCCATCAGATTTCACCAGCAAATCAAATTATTTCATTCCTCCCATTCGGGATCGAAACACNCGAAACGATCAAAGCAGATGCTTCTTACTGTTTCGATGATTGCGCAACACTGTTCCCTCAACTGTTCAAAATCTACGCTATGGAATCAGAGTATCACGTTTACAATCAATCCTCTTTATTGTTTGACGCTTAACTTATATCACATATACGGTGGATCGCATTATCAGTTGGATGGGCAGTGATAATGCTAATATTATCACTATTATGAGCCATCATTGTTACTCGAGATCACAATGCCAGGATTGACTTTGATAGGAGTCAAATTAGGGATGGTGATCGATCATAAGTGTGTGCTTAGCATTCGATGCATCTATGCCAAATGTGTGTTGCCTATTCGCTCATGTTCAGAGAAATTTACCAACGGGGATAAATAAGGACTTCAATCAGTGCCATGCAATTGAAGTTTGCTTCTGGAAACACGGATCAAACCAATAACACACCAGATGCTTCTCCGGCTCGGTGCACTTCCCATTTCAGTCGTTTAGCTCCGAAAATAGAGTGTCGATGAACCGAGGCTCTGCTGTATTTTGTACTGCTGTCACATTTTCGTTATCAAAATCGTCATCAACGAATTTTCCAACCAACCGATGTAGTGATTACTCAAATGACCGATTACTCGTTCTTTCTTTTAACTGACAATTTACAACGTAAAGTTGAACTTCAACTTTATTTTTGCCTGTTTCATGACAGTTCCATCAATTTTGCATCGCCATCATTCACGTAACCACCGAGAATGGTCGTCGTCATTTATCATCGACCGAACGCGGTGCACCCTCCTGATCAACTTCACATTTCCATCGAAAATGCAGTCGAATAGCGCTCCACTCATTTCTTATTGCTATCATTATCATTATCAACATCCTTATTACTTAACCATTTTAACCTTTACTATGATCATTGTTCTTTCTATTATTATTATTATCGTTAATGTGATTTGTTATCATTATTGTTAATGCTCGTATCATTGATATTATTACTATTATCATTGTTGTTAATGTGATTNATTGTCGTGTTGTCATCATGACACTATCACCAATATTCTCGTGATGCTGTTGTCAATTGCTATCATTCATCAAAAACACTTGCAGAAAACAATTTCCTGTCAAAACATTCAAAAATTTGAGAATTCATATTGCGCGATATTCACAAGTCCTTTCAATCGACAACACCGCTGTTGAATTCCTTTGAGATAGATATTCATGCCTCCTCATCAGCAGCCATCATAATTGATCAAAGTAATTAACCCTCATTCCGCGAATATCATTTTATTATCATGAGCATCCATCATCATCTCTGATGCGTTATTATCGTTATTTCACATCCATCCTATCTGAATTCATCCCTCATTAATTCAATTAAACAACAGAAGCCATATGCGGCGAGCTGTCATCGCTTATATTGGCGATTCAATTTCATCACCGAGCGATTGATTCGTGAACGCAATCCTCTGCATCGCATCATTCGAATCACGCTGACTGCAATTGAATAACCAATTTATCAGATCATCCCAAATCCCAATTAAATCTGAAATGAATAATCTCATTGTACATACTAAATACTCAACAGGAAATCAGTATTCCGCTTATCTGAACTCCTTCATTTGCTCTATTTCACTTCTTTTCGAGTCTTATCTGTCCATTCAAGCGTCCATCCGCTTATCCATGCATACATGCACACTTCGACCCACCTATTTGTTTCATAATCGCAAAGCCTTCTCATAGAAGTCAGCATCTGCTGGTTCACTTGAATTATTGCTATGATTAAGAGTTCAGTTTCAATCAGCGCTCGAAAGTCTCTGATTTCAACTTAGTTAGGGGTAAACTTGGATAAGTTTAGGTGATGATGGTGAAGTATTATTAAGAAATTTATCATTTAGCAAATGTTCACATAATTTTGATAAATGCCACTAATGAATTCATTTTCATTATGTGATGTCGTAATTCACTTTGATGTGAACACTTAATAGCATTCATGTGACATATTGATCACAGAACGTTTCTCAGATTTATTTGAAGCAAATTAAAACTGATCATCACCATATTTCAATAGTTCTATCGATAACGGTTGATTGTTGAATCGAGCGANGATTCTTGAATCGGCAAACGAGTTCGTCACTTTGTACTCAATTGATCGAAGAATGCCTTCATCGAATGCAACTTCATGAAATGATTTGAGGTGGTGTAAATTTCAAATTCTTCAGATGATTAAATACGTAGCCGCATCATGGAAATGAGTCTTCGGTGTTTCTCTGAACTGACTGATGAAGAGGGAATGCAATAAACGCTATTATTTATCAATGCCATTAGCGTCTTTTCGTCAGATCCGCTGATTGCATCTGAAACCATTGAACATCGTTATTATCATTAATAATACCGATTATCATTACTTTATTACTACTTCAATCTATTACCAACATTAATATTATCATTGCTATCGTCAATATTATTACTAATCAACATCTTCTTCACAACTAATTGATTGCTGTATCGTTGCTAACTCATTGATTATATGACATTAATTTGAAGTTGTGCTCACTATCAACATCAATTAGCATCATCTGCGTTATAGTTTGATTTATCTTCGACCAAAAAAGCACACTTTTATTCATAGAACTGAACATCATTAGCATCAATCGCTCTTAACATTATTTCATCATCACGGTTATTCACTGAACATATCAACAGTCAGAATCGTTCTCCATTGAGTATCCATCTTCCGTCTCAAGCGCATAATTTCCTATAATTTCAAGCTTCGGTTTCAACATTCAGTTCGATTATTCGACTGTTGGATTTGGGGAAATTTGTGAAATATTTCCAATTTCCGTGTATTTATTTCAAAGCTGAACAAGTAGGGTTATTGTCTGAAAGCTGCTGTGATTATTACTGTCGATGTGATTTTGCTCTGCAGCGAGATCAACATCGTTATCGTGTAAGCTGAATCGAAATTCGAACTATTAAACTTGAAACGTAATCCTTTCAAGCGTATAAGTGATTGAATAGTTGGGTAAACAGTGAGAAAGTGGGAAAAATAACCAAAAATCAAACTGCGAATGAAAAAATCTGCATAATATGATGGCTAAATCAAGCACGTCTGTACGGTTTCAGAGCAGTTCCACAACGCTTCGGCTGCAATTATGTGTGCTCATACCAGTTGTTCTCTTGATACTAGTCGCATTAGCCCTGATAATCTTCCCGCACTCCTCGAACAGTATCGTAAAACAAGGCTTATCCTCATCGTCATCATTATCTGTAGCACATCCGTCAATTGAACACAATCACTCACATCACAGACATCATCATTCAGGCAGTTATAATCGATCATCTCTAGGATCTGTTATTCATTTGCAACCCTCAAAGACGACGAATTCCAACAAATATATACGTTTACCGTCCAGTCATCGACCAGTTCTCTATACGTTAAAACTACAAGTATTTTTACCGTATCGAGATGTGCTGAATTTCGGTCATTTGAATTTCACGACAAATGGTGAGTTGAGAATTGATTTTGAGTGCCGAGAGTCGACTGATCGAGTGGTATTGAATGGGAAAAACTTGAGCATAAAGACATCATCGATTCTGTTGCTCGACAATACGAATCGATCGATTGCCGTTTCTGAGATCAACGCGTTCCGATATGAAGCGGACGATGTTTATGCGATCGAATTTCGATTTGACTCAATGCTGATTCGAGATAATCACTATGTGCTATTCATCAACTATCGTGGCTATATTGGTGATGTTTGGAGTGGTGGATTGTATAAAGCTGTTTATGAGGTCAATGACGAACTTCGGTGAGCATTCTTCTATTTTTCAGTAATTTCACATTGTCTTTTGCTGTTTTTCAGATGAAAAAAGAGATAAGAATTCCAGCAAATTAAACGTTAGCGAATGTTTTCTTAGTTGATCAACTCAATAATCTAATAAGAGTTAAACGGTAATCTGTCCAGCCGAATTAGACCAATCGTTGAAATGCTCACATTCACAACATTTATTGCGTAAACAACGACGACTTCAAGAAGAATAAATTTATTCGAAAGACACTCAAAATGCTTTTTGTTGCATGGTTTTCAGCCGCCGTCACGTTTTCCTTAAATGACCTTTACGGTCGGTCAAATGTCATATCAATTGAATTCTCGAATTAATGATTATTATTCATCACTCATATTGCCAACTCTTATTAGGCATCTTAATTGATTGTGAAATAGGTTGACGTTGAACGACGTTTTGCTGACGGAATCTCGCCGCATTTCGCTAGTAGCATTCATGCTGGTTTTTATCATTAGAATTACTGATGATTATGACTGATGACACTGATTGTGGTTCAAGGAGTAGCTTTTTGATGGCATCAACCACGGGGTCATCGAGGGTTCTGCAGAAATGATCAGTATGCACCTATCAAAATGAGAGAACTCGAACTTTCATAATGAAACATCTAATGAAAGTGCAAATTTTTTTTGTGTGTTTAGTAAACTCGTTTTCGCGATTGTTTTTTGAAGCAACACACAACAGCCAAGTAACATTCTGATCACATACACCCCATACATCATTGTCATCAGCATCAGCATTCAGCAACTGACTGAGGTCCAATACAAGGTTCATGAGCCACCTTTGTTTCACACTCCATCAGAAGACCAACGAATCAGTTCACTGATTTTAAAAGTAAACGACACTTGACTGGTTGATTTACTGTTAACCATTCACAGATTGATAACCTCAGATTTATTAGGTAATCAAGCAAAAAAGTGCTCTTTGTTGTGAAAAGTGTTTGAAAATTGAAACGACAAATCTTTTTTCTGCCAGTTTCTTTTTCACTTTCAACGTCTCAAATGTTTGATTAATTGATGAGAAAACACACAGAATGTAGAGTTCACACACAGTCACTGTGCAGTCGATTGTTTGCAATTTCGGAAGAATGGGGAACTTCTTAACGCTCACAGAAATTCACATACACATATACTCTAAATTTTCTCGTATCGTCGTGTATAGTGGAACATCCAATTCGTTGATCAGAATTATTTGTTGTGAGTTAGACAATTTCATGTACTGTTGTTGATATCCATTGATATTTCTGTTAATATGCATCAAAAAGATGTGAACAATAAATATTGGATTATGCGATTAAACATTATTTGGACAATTGAATGAGATCGTAAGGTTTTGCTTTCAAAAACTGACTAGTCCGCATAAAAGTGCTAACAAATTTCAGCACCAGAATTTTTTCAATTTAGTGATAAAAATGTCCCATCGTAGTGTTTGAATAGTTGAAAAATGAGAAACTTTGTTTGAGTTAAATGTTCAAGATCTGAGTGGTGAAACATGCTCATTAGTAAATCATTTGAATGTGAAATTGTATGCTTGTAGAACTTTGGCAACAACACAACTGCAGCCAACCGATGCGAGTCGTATGTTGCCGTGTTTCGATGAGCCCGAAATGAAGTCCTCTTTTCTCATCACCGTTATACACCCAACTGGTACCACAACGATATCGAATTCACCCGCAAGACGAGTTCGTCACATGAATGAGTGAGGAGTTATCGTGATTTCACTTGATCACTTCGTTGAACTTTTGATCTTTATCATCATTATTGTGATCATAATCACTGCATTCAATTCTGACGCGATAAGATGCTAACTGAGACAAGCCAATACCTAATTCTCATATCATCATTGATCACAATGTCAAAAGATTCGTCTAAAGAGGCGAAATGAATTTGATTTGTTAAAAAGAATTTCTCCTGAGAAGAAATATTAAAAAGAATGTCGTCGTCGCCATTAAGCATATTGAACTTAAAAGATTATCCAATNTGTGTGTGTGTGTGTGCAAAACGAGAAATGAACTGAATGAGCAAAAGTGGAGACAACACACAATCAAGCGCATAATTGACTTTCCAGAAGTGAAGAAATTACATCAAACATCAAAGTATCAATCGAGTTTGATTTCTAATTGAACAAAATTTTCAATTTAATTGTTATCGTATGTTTACGAACTCATAATTTCACATTTCTCATTCATCTATTGGACGAAATGAAAATTGAATAAAAACTGTCACGACGATTAGCCGCAAGTGCTAAGGGGAATGTCCTTTTGTAAACATTCGGGTGAAAATTTTGTGTAATAATCATGCGATGACACCACGACGCATTGTTATTGTTATGTTACACACCGTTGCGTAATCCATCAATTTTCATCATTTCAAAGAAATATTTTTGTGGCACAAATAAGACGTTGTTTCAATTTCTCATTTTCGAAACATACACGTACTTTAGTGACCTTGTAAAATCACTACACTACAAGCTAGTCTGATTGCATGAAAGAAGCTAGATTAAAAACTTTGATGGGCATTCTTGAGCACAAAAACGAGTGAGAGAACTATGAACTCTGTTTCGCTATTTGATTATGTAGAGCAATTTGAAATGTGCACACATTCACTTCCATGAGTTACGTATATATTTTAAGCTGTGAGTTTACCGACTTCAAACATATCGAATTACGCACATTCGATATAAAATTGCAGTATGAAATAACCGAGTTTCTGGCGGATGCAACAAATGAATAGTAAAAAAATGTCCGAATTTATCACCACATCAAGCATAAAAACGTTCATAAGATTCATGCTCATGATCAACTGAACAGTGAGTTTGTTGAGTACAGATACGTATATGGTCGAAGGAGACAATCTCAAACGACACCCTCTACGCACTCGACATTGTGTGCCGTCTGATGCAATATTATGAGGATTTTTTTGCGATTCAATATCCACTAAAAAAACTCGGTAAGTAACACTTCACCTATTCGAACATGACTTGTTCCGTTCATAGTCTAAGTTATCGTTGGTTATGCTATTTGTTATAACTCGTCCAATCATCTAGGTAAGTGTTCGTTCGCGTTTCAAATTGTTGAAGTGTTCTCAAAGATTTGCCCAAAATAAGTGACACTGAAAGGCAACAACAATTCATGATGATACGCATTGACCGTAGTGATATTATTGCAGCAAGCGAATTCCTCAGTTTTATCATACCATTTACATTATTCATATTTACATCAATGCCATTCTACATGTACATATGCAAAGCATTCATCGATTACAACAACATCACGACGTGAAATACCCGAAAAACCGTTTCGATTCACATATCTCTAAAATGAGTCCTTAAAAAGTTCGCAACCCGTTGCATCCAACCCGTCAAGTGATTCTCTCGCGCACCCCGAGTATTAATCACAATTCCTAAACCAAAATTCGGTGCACAATAGGCGATTGCTTCTGTTCCGGCCATTGAGCCATAATGGTAGGCTATATCGGACGATTTTGGGACGAGTTGAAGTCCACGACCATAATTCAGACGTCTTTCTGAGTGTTCCCATAGAAGAGCTGAAATCAGAGCGAAATCATGATGATCGTACTATTGATTTGCTCTCTGAATCAATAGTGGACAAATGAAAACAAAATCGATCATATTGATAAATATCTCAAAATATCAGAAATTGAGTGCTTCAATTTTGGATTACAGCACTAAAAACTAACCGTATTTTCCAACGTTTCGTTCCTCGGCCAACTCGAACATAATTTTCGCTATTTGGG